GTCTCGGCCCCGAGCCACGTTGGGTGAGTCGCAATGATTTGCTCGAGCTTTGCTCGAGGTGGCAACGCCTCGGGGTATCGGGCCCCGAGCCACTTCGTTTGAGTCGCAACGCTTTGCTCGAGCTTTGCTCGAGGTGGCACGCCTTGGGGTATCGGGCCCCAAGCCACGTCGATGGATTCTTTCTCTGTGCCCTTTTTTGGGGTGGCAACGCCTGGGGGTAACGTACCCTGAGCCACGTCGATTGATTCTTTCTCTGTGCCCTTTTTTGGGGTGGCAACGCCTTGGAGTCTCGGCCCCGAGCCACGTCGTTTTGGAACACTCGTTTTTGATGCCCCTTTGGCCGCGGGAGCTCGCTCGTCTTCACTCGCTGTCGATCTCTAAAGGACTGTGTCGTCTCAAGACTACGCTATCGAACCTTTGTTCTCGCTCCCCCCTTTCCCCGTCATGCCCATTGGTCGGTCGATCTCTTACGATTCCGCCGTTCGGCGATTGGGGGATCGGTGGGAGTTCACTTTCCTTTCGATGACGAGCGAGCGTTCCCTTTGTGACGCATCGAATGTTCTTTTTATGACGCATCTAATGTTCGGCTTGTCGTGCACGACGTCGTATACTTATTTGTTTAGGATGTAGACACAAAGAGTGGTCATACGTATTTGCTTAATACCTAGATATGAAGAACGGTCTCAACAAACGGCCAATCGGAAAACTTGAAGTTTCGCTATAAATTTAGAATTTTATGTTCTACTGATTAACTGCAAAATGTATTTAAAACTTATTTTCGGGGCATTGATAATCGCTCTCAATTTATTCCGCGCGATATGTTGCTGGTCAATAATTTAAATATACAATAGAGGCAAGTCCTCTATTATGACATAGGCTTTTAATATGAGATGGCAGGTTTTCAACGTCCAAATTCAATCACAAATCTTTATTCACAACGATTACACGATCTAACAATGAATTTACGTATTTTTAAGTCACTAAACAGATTTCACTCCAAAGACAATAAATTTACGATGGAACCAATAGAGGATGCCTATTAATTTAGCAAAAAAAACCCTGCTGTCCCATATTAGGAGCTTATCTCATAATAGCGGACTTTCCTCTATTCTTTATTGAAGTAAAATTCGCATTCGATAAGGAATTGTAACAAAGTAACGATTTTGCTTCACTACCGTGCAACCTATAACATTTTTCATCCCATCAATGAATGGCAGCTACTGCACGGTACAGTGTGAACAAGGAATTAAAATTTTAATTAACTACTGCGGCCTTTCACGAAGTTCTCTATTTCATCTATTTATCTTTGAGATAAATTAATA